ACACCCACAGTAGCGCAAGACACTGTGTACTAATATCAACAATTTATCCGATTTCAAAAAAAATAAAAAAATAAAAAATGCATTGGCTTTATGCAAAGACATTAAAGGTCTCGGATATTGCTCGCATCTACATTACACTGAACGCCTGCCCTCAGAAGGCTGAAACGTAAGGCTGTTGCCCCCCACAACAGCAATACACGTGGCTCCCCATGCAGTGACTAGCATCCAAAATTAAAGCACCCAAAATCGGCCTCACCTTGTGTGGGTGCTTGACGTGGACACAAAAGCCAAGCTCCTTCAGCACCCTTCTTTCAGCCTTTATTACTTGGTTCTTGAGGTTAATGTAATTCTGGTCTAGAATCAGCGGCTGTATGGTTCTGTAAAAAACGAAAGTACGACACTACAGATAAACAAATGTCCCTCGGTTTTAATTTTTTTTGAAGAAGTACCATTAAAAAAATGAAAGCACGTTACAGAAGCTACTTACGCACCTCCTCGTTATCTTTCAAGCCATCACTTGTTCTTAGTTTTATTCACACTAACGTGTCCCACATAAATACAGAAATTCAGCATACAATGAATTGTCAAAAGAAAACGAATTGGAAGGCCTGTTACACTCAATGCTATGCAGTAACCTGCTCTCTAACCTGAAGAGGTTCAGAGTCAAGAAATTAGTCAAAAGTGTGCGACCTGGAAACGTGAAAGAAGACGCAATCCTGAAATTGAACATCCAAGGAGCAATATTGAAATTGTTTGGACTCCAAATCACTAAATATTTAAGGGGATGTATCATAGCCGTTAATGCTTAACGGCTGTAATGGTGCATTCGCCGACACGAAACTTCGATCGCGTTAATGCCACAGCATATCAAAATTGGAAATCATTTGTGTAAAAAACCAACATGGTGGCACCCCCACACAAGTAGATAAAAGTTGTCAATATGCTAATAAACCCCACTGCCACTAACGTACAGGGGAATTCATTTCAAATGACACCGACCATTTACTTTCTGACACTTGAAATTAGGTTACTTGAACTTCCCAGAATTTTTAGATTTTTTTCCCCAATAAATAGAATTAGCAAACACCTCACTGTACCAAAAACTGACATCTGTTTTCAAAGCTGCATTGGTAGATATGCGTGCAAGAACACTCACTTTGCTCCCTTGACTTGCTTGATGTGGTGGAAGATGTTAACCACATCCCTTATTCTCCTGGGCGCCTCTTCGATTTTGGATGCTAGCGTAATACACGCCATGGCCACAATCTGAATAAGAAATAAAAGATGCCCATTTAGCATCACGAAGATATGTAGACCAATCTAGAGCGACATGCTAATGGAACTGACGTACTCATGCAAACAATCTCGTGCACTTTTTTTTTTTTCCCCTTTGCAGTTTCTTACCTCCATGCTGTGACGGACGAAAGACTTGGAAAAATAGAACCTATGGAACAGCACTTGACCAGTCGCCATTGCAACCTATAAAAGAAAAAGAAGAACTTGTTTATCTAGGACGCTGACGTAGCTATCAATTATTACACAGGAAAGCTCTCTCTCTCTCGTTTCCGGGTATGATGGCAGACTCGCTAGGGGAAAAAAAAAAATTCGCGAGTTTCAAAGATACTTCAACAGCCGCGAACTCATCACACTGAGATTAGAGAGCAGCGGGACATTATCGTCGCAAACAGCGGACCTGGCTGCTGCGTAGTCGGGGAAAACACGGGGCCAACGTCCTCGAGGAAGTAACTTGCTGGGGATGCAAGTAATCGTATGCGTCGCTCATCAGACTACAACGTGCACCTCAACAGGGGTTTCTAAGGATAAAATTAACAAAGGGAAGGCGACAACGAATCAATCCACAGATCTGGCGCACTGACCTCCCCCCATAAGGTAAAAAAAAAAAAAATGCGAAGAACTACGATTCGCTTACGACACAAGGTCGCAATGCAGCTCGTTAGGCTTAGCACTGATCGTGGCGAATATTTGCATTTTAAACCTTTGAGGAAGACGAAGGGGGGCAAAACGTGTCAGGCGATGTCAAGCCATTGAGTCGCAGCCCAGCCGATAGAACACCGGGCGCGATCAAAAACGAGGTCGAAGTATTCACCTGAGGTAGCCGTAGCAGCTTGCCGGACGTTTGAATGAGCTCACATCCCAGTATCCTCAGGTCGGTTTCGGCGTTGCTGTCCAATCCGTCGGCGTTTGAAGGTGTTGAAAGCAGTCTCTCGGGCGGCAAAATGCAGTTCTCCAGTAACAAAATAACTTTCCCGTGCTTGGGCTTAACACCATCCGCGTTATTTTGCGTACTCGCAACCGCCATATTCGCACTGCTAATCATCCCGATGACGGCGGCCACCAGGTTCTGCAGGGTATCACTCCGCTTTCAATGTAACCCCACCATACTTTTTTTTATTTGAAAACATTTAGTGCCACATTAAACATAAATAAATAACTTTGCAGTTCAAATTGAGCTTGCAATAATAAAAATTGCAAGCAAAAAAGAGTATGCCCGTTATGCCTGCATCGTAAGTGAGAACTATTTCTTCAAAGCGTACACGTCACGCGAACGCATGCGCCCTACGCCCTTTCTCATCTCGACGAGGTGCGAATCCTCCATGAGTGTAAACGTTTCGCGAACGTTCCGTTTTTTTTTTTTTTTTTCGTCTACGGTGCAAAGGTGTAGCGCTATGTACGCTGACCCTTTGTCCTGAGAAGTATAATCTACTATCTATAAAGCTGCGAAAAGCGCTACAAACCTTGGGCGGACACACAAAGGAAGAGAGACACATGCACGAACTTTAATGAAGCGAGAATTCTTAGCAGCAAAGCGCACGGCTTGGCAAAATGCTCGCTACCAGGAAGAACAAAACATTCGGGAAACGGAACGCCGACAAAAACTGCGGAGATGGCAGGTCACCTTAAAGTTGGAGAATTCTCGAAAAAAGTCCCGCACTGTCAAATAACAAATAACTGAAGCGCATCGCAAGAAAGCGCGCGAGGAACGTTTTTGAGTCGCCCACTAAAAATGGCTATAACTAGTAGAGTTCGATATATGACGATAACTAGCGGAGTTCATCTGTGAGGCAAAGGGTGCGGAATGCACTAATGCGTCTGGTGTTGCCGCCGATAGCTTGATACTTATGCCCATGGAAAGTCATTGTTATGCCGTACTGTACCAACGTATAAAAAGTTTATAATGTTAGAAGGCTATATAATTAGGGCCCGGAGCCAGCCCACCCCCTTTTCCCCGAAATTCGCAAGTCACAACCACCTGGCATTTCTTCGTTGCATTGCTTAATACAAATAACAAAACCTAGAGAAACTTGCCAAACTCGTTGTGAATTTTGTTATCTGTAACAGTATTGCGGTAGTACTCTGCCATGCATCTGACTTTCGACTAAAGCTCCAGTAGACTTTCATTACATTCTTAAGGTACCTTTGGCATATGATGCACAATACTAGCATATAAATACATTTGTAGGCGGACAACGCAACAAAAGATGTACAGCTCAGCGATGACACATTGATAGTACGTACTATATAAAGACAAAGGGATCACTCCGAAAAGAAAAAAAAAAATTACATATTACTTACCAGTGCAATTGCCCCAGTTTTTAGTTTCATTTTCACTCTATGACCTACTCGTATTCACCAATTCATAAATCTATGATTATCAATTATCCACTTTGTATGCCCCTTTCCTAGAGACACTGGACATACAGTCTTCAGACATCTCTACAAGAGATCTGTTTCAACTTAGCTGATACTGATATGCTGAATTTTACACTAATCAGTATAAAATACAGCAATCGTGCTTTTCATTTTGTCAATGTCTAAGGACTTGCAAGTACAATGCAAAATCTTGAGAAAGAGACAATCTTTATGAAGAGGTAGATTGTGCAGGACTTGTCATTACATAGGGTCCAGAAACCTTCACACAATCAAAGACTGACTTTCAAGCTATCCTTTGAATCTTAAAGCGATTAAGCATAAAGGTGGTTGTGTATACTGTTCACCTGCAATGTGTGCCAGCATTTTAAAAATATTTCGTTCTATTTACATTACAGATAAATCAACTTTCCCCTGTTCAAAACTGAGAGAAATTAACTAACTGCTACATTAGAAGAAAAGTACAATGCATACAAGAGGCTGTTGGGGGATTCAAACACACGAACCTGATGGGGACTTAACGGATCCTAAATATGTCAAGCAAGTAGGAATGTGAAATACAGAAACATGTTAATTAAGCTTTGGAGCTCAACGTCCTTGTACTCATAGTTGGTTAAGAGAAGCGACTCAGTGGAGAGCTGAGAATTCATTTTGAGTGCCTGAAGAACTCTCAACCGAACCCCTGTACAAAAGGGTTCTTGCATTTTGTTGCCATCTGAAGTCAGCCACAGTGGGTGATACGATGCACGCAACTGTACGTCGAATTGCCAAACTCCAGTTCAAATGAGTCTCATCATTTCTGTAGCATTACATTCCAAAATCACTTTATGATTGTAATGAACCCAACCATAGTGGGTCACTGCAGGTTACTTCCCATCGCATGGAATTTTTCGATGTGCACCAAAATACAAGTCCCCATTGAGGTCCAGCCGCTGCGGTTGGGATTTGAACATGTACCCTCAGACTTAGCAGTGCAGCACCTCACCTGCTAAGTTGCATCAGGTAGCTGCTGAGCCTAGATAACAGAGTGAACACATATTTACTCCGAAGTTTCATTCCGTACAGATGTTTCAATGTTTTAAATTGGCCCATTGTTTTTCCAACCCATTTCTGTACTGGGACAATTCAGTAATGTCAAATAATGCCTCTCAATTGGAGAAAAGTTTGGTGCTTCTCAGAATAGATGAATCTCGCTATAAACAGCGGTTTAGAGAACACAAGTGGTTCATATGAAGCCAGGAAATGGTGTTACTTAAATAGTGTGCATGCAGTTCTGTTTTGCTCATCCCATTTGCATATCTGTTCAAACACAATCAGGCGAACCACTTATATTGTTTTTAACCATGCTTTATTCAACCTCCGATAATTCATACTCATGAGTGATTCCTTTCCCACCGCTTTCCAAAAAAAATTGATGGTCCCTTGAAGCCGAAATTAACGACTAGTTGAAATATATTACACACAGCTGTAAGTGCTAATGTGGGATCAAAAGTTGAAAGGACACTAAAAGGAGAATGTAAATTGATGTTTGCACTTGAATTACCATTCAACAATACCTTGGAACAAAATGGTTTCGTCATTTATGAACGAGCCCAATAAATCATAAACAAAATGCGAAAACTAGAGGCGCAACAAATCTTGCCACAATGTCATTCACATTATTGGCGCATTTGTTAAGCCTAGCTTATTTTTTGTTGGTGAGCGCAGTCTACATTGCATTCTAAGGGAGTCACGGATTGGACTTGGCAAGTTTGAAGAAGTGCTACTCAGCAACAACCCTAGCACTGACAAAATACATCAAAATTTGTAATGCCACCCTTCTGCACGAGTACTGAGGCTTAGGTGCAATGTTCAGTGATAGAATGTTCATGTTTCTTTTCCTGAGCAACGATAAGTGATTAAAATAATGAAATTGGGCAATTTTGAAATAGTACTTTGCAATTTTAAAGTAATTTAGTGTATCTATCTAGTATCCATTTAAAATATCCAGAACAAGCATACTTAAAAGTTCGTTCACGTTGAAACTGAAAACACACACACAATAAAAAGATTGGTAGATGCACTTCCTCGCACTATGAGCTAATTTACTGCAATAACTAGAGGAGCTCACAGAGGATACTTTCATGTTTTCAACAACAATTTCAACTACACAACACACATGTTTTTCTCACAAGTGTCAATATTTAGTGTTACAGCCTCTTAGCATGGTCAAAAGAGACCAGAAAACAATCACAACAACAAAATGATATGTGCTAAGAGCTTAAGATTGTTACTCCTAAACAAGCTGACGATTAACTAAAAGTGCATGGTTATGTTAGACTGGCAGACATTATGCCAAGATATTAGGCGGTTTCAGATTGTCTATAAAAACATCAACATTTTGTAGCAAAGTTTACAGAAGTAACTTCATTTTGCACAGTCGATTTTAGCCACTAGGTGCGAGCCGCTGATTTTGATAACTTCTAGTACAACACACCGGTAGTGAAAAAAAAAAAGTATTTTGGCAATTTCGCTTGTTTTCCCTTCAACTTTCTTCAAGCCATTGTTTCTAGTTTTATTACTATCACCTACAACTCTGGCAACCCAGCAATCCGCAGACCGTAAGAAATTTACGAATAATCTCGAACTACCTGTTGATCTATTAAGTCTGTTTTCTTAAGCTATTAGAAAAAGGCCTTTCGTGTTTACATGCACTATATAGCAAGTGGAGACAGTGTATGTGTGTTTGCGGCATATACCGTACAAGACACAAGTGGTACGCAAAAAAATTATTAGTGCATAAATGAAGCCTTCACTGAACACCAAGACCACTTCAACACTCTTCGCAGATCAGCATCTAATAAACTTGCCTCAAATTGCTTCCTGTGTTTTTATTAACAGTGTGTAAATGATAAAAACTTCCTTTCCAAACCGAAATTTCAAATTATAAGCCTTGACAAAAACAAATCCTCTCATTAGAACAGTGAATCACTTCAAATGATCACACAGCAAACTAACACTACAGAGAACCATTCCATATCATTTATATTACAGTCACCATGGCACAGAAATAAACACATTTCTGAGTTGAACAACCTCTAGTCATGAACGCATGGGTACTGCCACAGGGGGGCCCAAAAATTTTGACTGCCATTCCTTTCTTCCCCTGCTTACCCCATAAGGAACATACTTGTCATGGTGCCCCCCGCCCCCGAAAATCTGCATAGACCATCCATGCATGCACTCTGATCAACCTTACACTGCGCCCCAGTATACACTCATCCGAGTGGCAAAATAAAAGCATCCTCTCAACACAAGCAAATGCCTCTCAGCACAGTCAGTCTAAATAAAAAGTGATCACAGCACTGTACGGTAACTCATTCATCATGCACTTCTAGCACCATCTTCTAGACATGTTCATACACTACCAATACATTGGTCACAAAAGGTTTACAAATCCACATACAGTAACTGAAAGTACAACTTGATTCGCGGGAGTAAACAGCAGTGTAGAAGTTCCTGTGTTGGCTTTTGTGTCATACTTTAAATGCGAGTACAAGCCATGTCCAATTCATCTGTACAAGCCACATCCAATCATTTCATATCTTAAGCACATCCAGCTTACCCTTAAACCATAAGCGTAGCCAGTGAAAGGGATTTGGAGTTCAAATACTCCCCAACTACACCTAAAATTTCTCTGTTTCCATGTCTATACTGTATGCATGCATGCATATATACAGAAAGTATAACACCCCACCCCCAACCTCCCCAAATAAAATCCGGGTTATGTCCGTCCCTCCTGTGAACTGCGACGCAAAATTTTTTTTCCAATATGCGTGCTTTTAAAGGGGTACTGAACTACTTCCAAGTAATAACCGAGTGACCTCAGTATCAGAGTTTATAGCACCACCTATCGGCCACGGAAAAATTTTTTTTAATTCATCAAGTACAAGCAGGGTTGGAGGGATTTGTTGCACACTTTGAACACTTTCTCTTTTTGTTTATCTCGAAGAGCAAGCTGTACGCTACACAGAAAGGGATGAGAACTGATGAAATGTGCACGTCGTGAGGTTGATCATGCATCTCGAAGCTTTAGCGACATAGAGGGCAGTGCCCGGCACGTGGCAGCACTTCAAGGCAAGAAGACCATTTGATCCAAGCACTGCTCCTAATTTACATCAGTTTCCAGACAATAGCAGTAATGTGTTAAGTGATGTAAAGTCTCCGGTACGATGGCCCTTCAAAAAGTGCTAATACAGGCCTGTGTATAAGAGAAGGCATTTGAAAAAGTGGCAACTTTACGCTCTGCTTGTGAACTCTCCTTTCTGAGCACAACTGCAGCACTCACCTTAGCTGTTCAAAGCGCATCCTTCTTTTTCTGCTGTATACGTTTTTCACCATGCACGAGGGGTAGTTCGGGAGCTTAAGCGAGGTGAGCTTACAATCAGACACCGACACGTAAACAGTTGCATCTTACACTGCGGACACACCAGTTAACGGCACGTGCACCAAACTGACAGCATAAAAATTTCACAGACAACGTGGCTGCTTGCAGTGACTTCCCGATTATGCCTCGACAGTTCACACAATTCGATCAAACACACTAGCTACGATAAGTAGGTCCACTACCGATTACGGCGTGAAAAAACACAGTGTGGATTGTACTACTGTGGACTAATATGAGGCTGTAAGGTATGGCAGCAGAACACTCCTCGCAAGTAACTGTTAAGCATTGCACCGCCACACACTTCATCAACCAACATGCCACAGATAGGCAGTCACACTAAAATTGTGTCAAAACTGGCAACAGTGCAACAAATGGCGAAATGACAATGATATCTAGCGTGGTCCCAGTTAATAATTTCTTGCTCCCACTTTTGTAAACTTGCAGTTGACAGCAGTATACTACATTGTTAATGTTATTTTTCACAGTGCAAACTGAAGTGTCCTCACATTTAGTGAGTATACAGTAACAAGTGATTCAAATCATTGCCAAACCATAAGGGTTCTCAGTGTTTCCATTCTTCGCAATGCCTTATTTTTTTCAAGGTGCCCCAGTTCCTCAATTATTTTGACGCCATCACACACAAAAGTTACCACAGCTGGATTCTTTAGAATAGATATGCAGGGCACGTTTGCTGGGGTGGTCAGCAAAACAAAAAATAGTACTGGTTGCAACAATATTACACCATACAAAATGAACAGAGCAAAGGATACTGAATATTCAAGGTGATATTTACAATCAATATATTGACAGATTCAAGAAGCTATATATAGCCACAGCACTAATTTTTTGCATGCAATCATGCATTGCCCTCTTGTGACTGCAACTCTTCAAGTGACAGTAAAATTATGTCCTGTACCTGTGTTCATTTTGCCTGGCACTTCTTTCCAACAGTTGGGATAGACCATACTTGCCCAACCTTCAATCTTCATAAAAGCAGTTAATAGCGAATATCTAATGGCAGGCGAAGTATCGATGGTGCTCCATGCAGTGGTGCAGTGGGTGTGAACTGAATGCATCCACAATGACGTGAAAAGAAGAGCGGTTGAAGACGGCAAGGACATAGCTAAATTCCTAAGAGGTGCTGCACAGCCGTTTGGGCTGACACGTTGGGCATCTAATGCCTCACGACATGGCTAGCGATCTCAGTAAAGGCGAGCACAGCTATGCTGTAAAAAGGAAGGTGTTGGGTCCTCCTTGCAGCGTCCACGGCTACCGACCCTTCATGATGACGTTTTCAAGTAGGCTGTTGCCGTTGACAGTAGCGGTTGTTGCAACCAGTATGTGGTAACCTGAAAAACAAAATTTGATAGAACAGAACTCAAATCAGTGGACATTATAACATGAGACACGGTGGGTGCCAAACCAAAGCATGACTGTTGCCTAACAAGTCGGTATCTTGATCTGCATTACACTGAAAATTCGCTCCCTGAATACCGACATGACCAGGAGAATTAATCACAGAGCTATCTGAAAACAAGTACGAACGGTGCCCTTTACACAACTGTTAAAGCCAAGATTTATTTATTTTATGTAGCCTCAAGTAGTGTCACACATGCAAGTCAGCAACATTCAATGCTGTATAAAGTGCTTCAAAACACTGAAACTCTGCTCTTTGTGCTTTGAAAGGGAAAACACATGGATCCGAGGGATCCATGCTACTAAGAAATCCAATGCAGGTTTCTCTGGATAATTTCTTACGGGTATAAATGGTCGTATTCCAGTAATACCTATGTAAATTAATGAAAAGGTTAATATGTGGCATAACAAGGCCTAGGTCAAAGTGTGGCAATATTGGACAAACAAACTGATTTTGCAGAACACCGTAGCGACAACAACCACTCACGCTAGGCACGCATGCTGTTAATCTATCATGAATTTCATACTTTTGCACCCTTGGGACTATGCTCTCTATACTACAGCATGGTATTTATCTGCCACTATTGAAAGTGCGCAAATACTAGCCCCTTTGCAACCGAAAGAAAGGAGTAAAAACATGCCAAAATCATTAAAAACTTTTTTCCGCTAAATCCGTCGAACTTTCTTAAATGGTACCATTCTTTCAATTCGATGATGCTCCTTTATTTCAATTATTGCATAGAAAAGAATCACTCGAAAGGTGGCTTCACTGCATGACCATACAATGAAAAAGGCCAATAAAATGAAAGCAGAGACACAAATGTGTCAAAATGAACAAGCGTGGTCGTCTAGAGTAAGAAAACACAAGTATTACGAGTGTTATCCTCCATTCTTCTGGTGCGTGACCAATAGTATTTGTTGAGGATTGGTATAGTCATCATCAGTCAATTTGTTTGAAAATTTCATGATGTCTATGCTTGTTGGCCGTTCCTAAAAGAGTTAGGAGTCTCACCTTGAATGACTATTATGATTGCCAGTAATATATTATTGTAAGAAGCAGTCATATCTGTTCTTATGCCAACTCCTCACCTTTCAGTTTTCCTAAAAGCCGGAGTGCAGCAATCTCTGCAAACGTCACGCCTCCCAGAAAGTACACCATGACAATCTTAGCCTGTGAAGGATCTGCAAATGGGAGCGACAAATAGCTAATGAGTGTACTGTATGAATGGAAGTCTACAATTAAATTAACGATTACAAGAAGGTGCTGTTGACGATAACATTCAAACCCACCACACTGCATCTATCCTATAAACAGACATACCAAATTAACACACATTGGCAATCAGAGCAATATTACACACAAAGAAATGTGTGTTTGTATCAGCACCTTTAGAATGTGGATTAGTGTACATTGTGGTTGAACCAGGTAGAAGCTTCAGGGCATCTTCGTAGCCATGAATACCATCCTTCAGGAGGATCTGTAATGAAGTAAGTGTTCATACTATCAGACCTCGATATAACGATCCTGGATATAACAAAATACAGATTATAACAAAGTACATGAAAAACAGTCTTGTAATAGATATAGTGTTAGGAATATACCTTTATGACTAATTTTCAGTTATTACGAACTAATTTTCCTATAAGGTGAAACTTCGTTATACTAATGAGGTTTGGGCGTAGTATCATGACACTGTAGCGGGTGAGAGTAGAGAGACGTGAGACGGCGTCGAAGGCAGCCGACGGGGCCGTGCCGATCGCGCCACTTTATTCCACGCCCGAAGCCGAACCGCGGTAGCTGTCCCCGTCTGACGCGCCAGGTGCGTGAGCTCGTTCTAATCCTCGCGCAGCTCGAGCTAGCATCAGCTGCGCGAGAGGCGCGGCGCGGTGATTGAGAAATGATGATGGTGATGATGGCACTACAGGGCTCCCCCCCTAGCGCTTTGCGCGATTTGAAGGCGTATGAAAAAGAAAGAGAGCGACAAATGCTATATACATGAACGGCAATCCATAAAGTGTTCATTTGGCAAGTCCAGGTTGTCAACGTTTATGGGCCATCAGTAAGCAGTGTCTCCGGTGGGCGACTCTGGGAGAAGCGCAAGGGACGAAGAAGGAAGTGCCGGGTCGCTGTGTTCATAGACACGTCCACCCCACAATTACGCGGTGGGACCATTCGAATGCGCACCCGCCGTTTCGAGTAGACGCGGCTGACAAACGTGCCCACAGCTGGAACTGTGGACAGGCGCTGAAGAGCTCGCGCCGGCAATGTGGGCGAAATAGTGTGAAGGGTCGGAACGCACCCATGATGACCGAGCACTGAAGTTTCACAGCCACAGCGGGGTCTCGGACAGCGCACAGGGTGCCGAGCCTGCTGTCGACAAGGAGCAACGTCGCGGTCGTGCTGGTGCGGACGTCTCTGTCGATGAAACACCGGCCTCCGCGTAGCACTGCGACCGGCATGCCGGGGCGTGTGGCCGAGTCGACGGATGCGGAAACGCCGTGCATTGCGGCTAGTCATGTGCACGGCAAGTGGTTGGCCCTTGCGTCGGGAAAACCTCGTAGGTGTTTGCGCCGTCTTGAAGGCCAAGGCTGCAACACATGACTGTTTAGCAAGAGGCTTGAAAAAGGGCCTCTCTGTATTATGCCGAACGTGATGATTTCGTTGGCATACTATCAAGGGCGGCAGATATGCAGTTGGACCGCACGTCGTCGCTGTTGTTACCAACGAGCCTGTGTGGCGGACTGCATCCGGCGCCAAATGCTCTGGGGAATAGTTGTGAAGCTCAGAAGACGTGAGCTTTGATGGAGGATCGGGTGGCACACCTGAAAGACCATCGGTTCTCCGCGCATGAGGGTTGGTGTGCAGGTCTGCATGATCGATGACAACCTCTACAGCATGTGTGGCATATGTAGTCTGCAGTGCCATAGGCGCGCCAGGTACGTCGTCCTCAGCTGCGTCAGTCATAGTCGCAGCCTCTCGGAAGTTTGGCTGTGGTTGACGGCTTATGACTTTAACTTCGGCTGCGGGAGACTGCGGGGCTGAAGATGATCGCTGCTGGCAGGACGCAGAGAGCGTCGAGGTGGGTGGGGAGGCGCCTTCGGACATCGTCGACGTTGAAGTCTCCGCGACCAAGGGGCGAATAGTGAGCGTGAGGATATCCGTAGTCTTGGCAGACTCCGGGGCATGCGGCGATGAAGCCGTCGTGGAGTCTGACATGTCTGAGAAATCGTGGTCTGTGTAGGCCGGAGAAGACATGCGGGTGGCGAGAGTGCCCGAGGGACAATCGGCCGAGGACTTCGAAAAAATGCACCTCGTGGCGACCCGGTAGTTGGCTACAGGAACGTATTGAATAAGCTCGTCGGATTTCGTGGCTGACTGGTCGCGTGCAGCACGAATGTTCTGAACCTCGTCGGGTGGGCATTCGTACGCGGGACTCGCGTTGATAGTGGCCGGACGAGATGTTGTAGGAGACGTAGTCGGGGAAGTTAGGTCCCGGTCAGTGAAGACTTTCGGGCCGGAGGGTACCGCACGCTGCGACGCAGACGAAACCTGTAAGTCGCGGGTGAACGGCAGCGGTTGGTAGGTGAGGCCATAGCTGGCAAGCACCGCAGAGCAGAGGTCATCGTAAGGCTGCTGGCTGGAGGTTGAAGTGCCAGAGAGATGACGCAACTCTACCGGAAGGGCGTCTTGAAGAATGGCGTGCATCAGCGGCTGGTCCGTGACGCCATTCAACGCCAGAACGGCATCGAGCTGCATGAACCATACCTTGGGGTAGGTCGATTTGAATGGCGGCACTGGCGGGCAGAGTTGCGGGAACATGGCAGCGGGCCGCTCGGCGAAGGGCGTGTTCTCCGGGTCACCGATGTAGCGGGTGAGAGTAGAGAGACGTGAGACGGCGTCGAAGGCAGCCGACGGGGCCGTGCCGATCGCGCCACTTTATTCCACGCCCGAAGCCGAACCGCGGTAGCTGTCCCCGTCCGACGCGCCAGGTGCGTGAGCTCGTTCTAATCCTCGCGCAGCTCGAGCTAGCATCAGCTGCGCGAGAGGCGCGGCGCGGTGATTGAGAAATGATGATGGTGATGATGGCACTACAACACCTTCTGTTATATAGTATAAATGGTGATCAACACACAATAACGCTGCGTTAGCTGGGTTACATACTGTTTACAGCTATTAGCTAAAAGTTCCTTGTAGCAATACTTATAACAGTTATCACCCCCGGTGCATAGGTTTCTACGATAACAGAAAAAAAAGCCAAACCTGTCTCGTTTTGTTCGTAGACCATACCATAAACTTTAATGTAAATGCTTAATGCTTTCAATTGTTTCCCAAAACACACACTTTGTTACTCAGTTTAAATATGCTGGAATGACTTCAGGACTGTTTCTTTCGATGTATCTAGAAGCGTAATGACGCCACAACATAGACATATTTGCAGAGCACAAAATGAACGAGGACAGATGGGAGAACCCAGCACAGATGCTGACTTCAGCTAAATTTTATTGGCAAAAATGCTCGAACAGCTGCGTTTGTGACATTGTCTGGCTTAGTTAGTCTCGGCATTCACTGCAGAGATTGTGGTAGCTAACCACAATTTAAAAATTGTATCATTGTCGCAAAACATCATCAGCACCTCACACGCGAAATCATAAAAGCTAATATAATGCAATAGCTCGGTGGCCTCTTCATAAGCATGCCATCTGTTGGCCTAAACAAAAAGAAAATTCCTTATCTGGCTATGATGCAATGAGTTGTGCGTTTGCACTGATGTGTACTATTCTCACGCTGATATCTTGTGTATAGTATATCTCTAGCATTCTCACTAATAAAATTGTTGAAGTCAGTACCTGTGTTGCGTCCTCTCGTCTGTCCTCGTTCATGTTGCGCTGCACAAGTATGCCGATGCTAAATCACAAACTAGCCCAAGTTACTGCTTTACAAACCACCAACATGGACATTCGTAAGCAGTCTGAACGTTATTCACCCAAGAAAGACCACGGTACGCACCTGCTCCACCAGTCTGCACACCACTGGGATGTAGGCACCGCTGAACACGTAGCCCATGTCTCGAGGATTCTTCAGGTCATAACTATCACCTGCATTGGGTGGAATCTGAACACAAGAATAACAACAGCACATGAACGGCCCGTGAACAGTGTGACACACAGCACAACCTCAATCATACATTTTCGAAGAGAAAAAAAAATGCTGCAAAAATATGCTATCAGGAGGAATGCGTCATTTGAATTCACTAAAACAACACACTGCTTCACTTGATAACAATAAAGGCAATGTTGGAACTGAGAAAATCGTACAAAACAGAAATGTGGTATGCTCCGGGCAACAATTCTTGTCATTTATATTAGATGTCTCTTATAAGCAAGGCACCTCCTATGTATTTTCTTATCAACCCGTCTTTTACTGTAGGCAAACTGATGTCTCTTATACCCATTTGTCTCTTACATCAGTGTTTCTGATAAAGGGGTTCAACTGTATCAAGATGTCTCTGTATGACCAAAAAAGGGCCTGCTCTAGCGCCGAGCTGGAGCAATTCCTGACAAAAATGGCATTGTGATGCAAGGTTATAACGGCCTTACCAGACTTAGCCTTTTGGTGATAGCGCTGAAGCGTGTCGCCCTGGGTAGCGACGCCATGGCGGCTGCCACCTTGCTGGCAAGGGTCGGAGCCATAGCCGAAGCTGCGGCCCCTCCTATCCGGCTGGCTCCCTGATCCTGGCAGAGACCGAGCTTCTTGAGGAGATGAAACGTCCACATGTGGTGGTGGCCATGGCTCTAGAATGAGGACGCATGCAGCTGCTCAGGAACAGCAAAATACTTTTGAAAGAGCACGAAAGCATCTGTGCAAAGAAAGCGAGCAAATGCTATTCTGCACAAGATGTGCAATCCTTGAAGACCGTTTAATGAGCTACAGAGGTGACAAAAACAAAGGACTAGTGTGACTATTACATGCTTTGCACAAGGAATAGCATGTCACTTTAGCCAGGTGCACATGTTGTCGTAGTCATTGTGCATTGTGCCTAAAATATTCTACATTAAGAAGGAATACGCTGTTAGAACAGAATACTAGACACCAAAAGCTTCAGTGACACTCCAAATAAATGATTCTAAATGAACAGAATACAGCATAGCTCATGCCCTTATCGTCTTTCACGTTTCTAACCATGCATTCATCCACTTAGCAAGAAATACATCTTTTGCAGAACAACAAGCGAATGTATAAATTTACTGTTCTGACATTGTAGCATGCAGACATATGAAAGTGGACATGCACCACAATGCAATGACCATATGGGCAAGACCTGCACATAACAATGTCTGGGTATACCTGGGTACACAGCGTTACAGTGCCAGAATAGTTAGTTAAAGGTAAGCACAGACGACCAGACTTCTACACTGGTAACTGTCACAAGATTAACAACACTACATAGTTGCGCATGCACAGCAATTGCGTGCATGATGACTGATAATGATGAAGGTCCTTGTTCCGCCAGACTTGATGCCTTATTTATTGAACAGTTTGCCAGCTCATCATAAGATCAGATGACAGCAGCTGGCAACGAAAGAGTGTTCCAAACTCTCTGTCATGGCTGTGAGTGGCATCAATAGTCAAAACATAAATACCCATTAAATAACCAGTCAACAGGCTGTGTGTTTTTTTTTTACACCCCTCAAACAAGCTCGGTAATTTGTAGAGTAGACCGCAGTGATCACAGTTTTCTGAAAATTACAGAGCTGCGCACCACCCAGGGCTCCTTTCCTACGCCTGAATTATCTCCTTGCACGTGCAGTGACTACACCTCGGCAGCTCGTCGATTGGTCTAAACCAGGTCTCAACAAACAGTAGTAAAGTAAACGGCAGTTCCTGTTCCCACCAACAGCTACGACAGAGCTGTTCAACCACATGAGTTGCGAAACTCCTCATAGGCTCCATGCAACGAAATCGCGACACTTCACTGACCCAGTCACGAAGGAAGGACCCAGCCACGAAGGAAGGACCTTTCCTTTTTCCGTGGACCCAGTCTTTGGAAGTGAGTAGATTGTCGCGCCACCTGTTGATCAGCACACCTACTATGAAGCGCATTACTTGTGTTTTGTGTTGCTAGTCCCAGATGGCGCAAGAGTCTGCTTCCAAAAAATCCAACTCCTGAAAAATCGGGCCAACTTCATGTCCGTGTTTTGGAACGCAGTTTTGCTGCAAATCGTTATCAGCTGCAAATCGAGCCACTGGGCTGTGGAGAAGCATCTGCACCGGGTAAACGGTAAATGACCAGGCATCACAGCAAAGGAAAGTGTGTTGCGACTTCTCGAGTTCGCCTATGATGTCAATCGCTGATGCCTTGTCACATTGACGAACTGGGCGGAGTCATAACGACAAACTTCCCTTCCTCTGATGATGATATGTGGGGTTTAACGTCCCAAAACCACCATATGATTATGAGAGACGCCGTAGTGGAGGGCTCCGGAAATTTTGAACACCTGGGGTTCTTTAACGTGCACCCAAATTTGAGCACACGGGCCTGCAACATTTCCGCCTCCATCGGCAATGCAGTCGCCGCAGCCGGGATTTGATCCCGCGACCTGCGGGTCAGCAGCTGAGTACCTTAGCCACTAGACCACCGCGGCGGGGCAAACTTCCCTTCCTCTGAAGGAAAAGGATGGCGAGACCGCGCGAAAATTTGAAACCAGCTGAATGCAGTTTTTCTAGCCCCTGCAACTTTCTTAATATAGCGCGTATTCACAAAATTCTTGAGGCAGCATGTTCACGAAGTAAATATGCACATATTTCTCTTTACCACAATTTTCGGACCTTGGGGTTGTTTACTAGCCGATTTTTCATCCACTTTAATTCCTTTCCATTAATGCTACAGGTACTACCTATACTATACAGCTAAAACATAGAACGTCCCTAAGGCCTTCCTTAGCTTTAGTATCATCCATTGGTTTCCTTATGCTGTGTATAACAATGAAAAGGGCTCTCGATCAATAACCCCTCTTTCATTCACTAATGGTGAAGTGTGATAACATGAATCCAGCAGACATCGTTACAAAGAGACGAGAAAATCAAAAGCGGTTGCAGGAAAGTGCAACTAACTGTATGCTGAAAATGCGTTTCTGAAGTTTAATTATTGCTTCTTACAGTAATGAGAGTTCAGTGATGGCATCGATTACCCACAGTGTAAAATCGAGCACTCTTAACTTCCTGTACTGCTTTCAATGAAACTTTCGAAATGTGGTGCAAAGCATATGGAGCGTAGTCACCTGTAAAAACTGCTGCGTGAGGGTCTTGTACTCTTGGGATGGAATGCCGTCTTGCGTGAGCGACAGCAGGCAGAGCAGGCGCAAGGTGCCTACTGCAGAGTGCTGTGGTGATTTAGCGCAGAGATGGAAACATGAACAAGGAAATAATTTTAGAACGCTTAGCGGGGCCCGTCCATCACTTGCCTCACTTCTACAACAATTTTGAATATTCAATTTAAGAATTAAGTTTAAAACTCGTAAACTCGCATCAAATATGTGCCGCAATTCAGTACAAAGCATCCTATAAAACTTAAGAGGCACATAATATTGGTGTTGGGAACATCAAACTAAAATATACCTCTCCTTTCTCCTTTTTTTTCGAGCGGAACTCTCATGAAATCTGCACAAAAGCTACAACATTGCACAAATTATTTGTTTAACAAATACAAAGCTGCAGTTTCCTCCTTTTTGTGAAAACTGACTCACAACGTTCCCATGGTGTTGAACTATGCGCCCAACTTTTTACATTGTAACAGTGAAGCTGCATGTCGCTAAAGTTCCACGCATTTTTCATATGCATCAACAGTAACGTACGTGCCACATCCATTGGGTGAACGCAACCACTCAGAACCTGTTCCATTAAAAATGAAGACAGGAACACACTGGCAGCAAACACCAATTAAGATTGTCTAAACTCTGTTCAAACTGCTCTATATAAGCGAATTTCCAGTTCTCAGTGGAATTAGTATCAATGAGTCTTCACTGTACACTACTACTGGCTATGTGTAAATGAAAATGTGCTGCCATTAGTTTTCTTTTAATTACGGCCCTGACACGAAAAAAAGCAACAGGGTCAAATTGCCCGTTAGTCTCACCTGCCTGTTGATGCACTCCTCGATGAAGTTCATCCCTTCCCTCACCTCTAAGCCTTCCAGCAAACCTGTAAGCAAAAAGATTTTGTTCAAAGAAAGGATGCCAAGAAAATACTCACATTTAAAAAGAACTATTATTTACAGAATAATAACTCTTTAGACGAGACAAAACAAGGTACAGTATTAGGCACTTCAGCACACATCAATAAATAACATCCATGACACATGTCTAACCTTATAGCTTGAGTGGCAAAACCAGAAAGCACTACAGTGTATACAGGGGCTGCAAAAAGTGTAGTTATCGACCAAATCGGAAAACTGTTCGTACAAACATTTACCTCAAGAGGATTCCTATGGCTTTCAACTGCTTTGTGGCTTTCAAAGAAATACTGGATTATAATAGCCAAAATCCACAACCTTCATTCACGTGTGCACCGTCTTACTGTTCCTCCTGCAGTTCAGTACTAAAGTGACACTGCTTCAAATTTGAAGCTATTAACGGCGGATAAACTGTATTAGTCACATTTTTAGGTTTTATGGGTGAGAACCACTATGAGCCCGATGCATGCTGTAGCGAGGAATTGTGGATTAATTTTGGTCTCCTGGGGTTCTCCAGATAAAGTATATAAGCAGATATGGCTGTCAGAATGTCTAAACTCACAGGCATAGGAATCAAAGAAATGCACATACAATAATTCTCGCAATAGCTGAACGGTCCCAGCGAAGGAGCTCCCCCAAGCTAGCGTTCAGTAACAAAACTGCTTCTGTGCGGTAAAACATCTGTCATTCCCCTCCAGTTAAGCCCGCGGTTATAAAATTGAATGAACCTTCTCAAACGAGCACTTTTTTTACTTTGCAGCAAGACCTAAACCTTACAGCATGAAATGTGGAAGTATGTAGCGTGTTATATCCATGCGAAGGAGACATTAGCAACTACCATTTTGAAGATAACCGTACTTACTATGCTCTGTCCTCAGTTGCCCTTCAAAATTTGTGCGGGAGTTCTTGATAACTTCACATGACCCAATATCTGAGGAAAAAAAAAAGAGGGCAGGGGGGGAGAGAGAGAGGCAGGAATGGAGTGATACACAAAGCCAACATTGCCAACAGACTTGACATGAACGAAGAGTTGGTATGCCTTGATGCTATGCTTTCCAATGCACACCACAGCTCTCGCTACAATCGCATCAGTCAATAACATGAAAAACATTCAAAGGCAAAAGTAGTTTCGACATGAAATAAATGGCAGTAGCAATTCAGTAATCAGCTCGACGCCTCTTTGGACTAAGTTGAGTCTGACTTGTAACATATATCGTGACTGAAACAGGAAGTGTTCAGTTTGAACTGCCACAGTAAGAATTATCACGAGTATAACAAATGCCGCCCACGTTTTTGATGCTCACGTTATATTCCTGCTTTTCATATCGCAGTCATGAAATATCGCGCAATTCCATGTTGACAGCACCACTCACACACTGCTAATGAGCTGTGCTGCTGCTGCAAGGACCTCAGTTCGTTGGCGACAAAGTTTTTCATGTCTCCAATAGACATTCCGTGCCTCTCCTGAAATAGAAAACAGAACCACTTGAACTCGTACTGTACTCGCTACTCTTTTAAAAAACCGCTTATCTTTTAATTAGATATAAACAATAGTCCTAAAATTGCCCTACAAATCCATCCCACTTACACTACCAGTAATCTTGAGGCTATCAATAGTACACATACTCTTTTTCACAAATGTAGCCTTCCTGCTCCCTTTATGCAGAGCTCGATCTGGGCCCCTGACCAACTAAAAACAATGGCAAATAGAATGGCAGTGAACACTTAAACTTAAATTTCAAAACAGTCTGCGCAATGCCTCTGTGTACGATACCAAAACATATTAATCTAGTGTCACACGACGCAAAGTGTTGCCAAATATTTGATATTTATTTACATAGCCCATAGATTTTCGTTTAGCCTTGCATATGTATACCGTCTTCAATTGTGGTTTCATTCTAATTGTATCTCTTTCATATCCTATGCTGCTCCTGCAACAGGCCCTACCAGTCTTGCAGTATTTCTTGTGAGCAAATAAATTATGACTAAGTAAATATTCAATGAAGTGATTAAATAAAACAGTATGTGCTGCTTTCATTTTGTCACTTTTGAACAACTAGTAAGTTTCTAAAGGTAAGTTACACAACAGTCATTTCTTTTTTCTAATTTAGAAGTTTTTATATTGCCCTAAGCATAAGATACATACACATTAAATTAACCCTGCTACTTGCTAACATCTGAGACCACTAACACACTTATTCAAGGAACACTAAATGAAACTTTGAAACCATTCAGTAGACAAATTGTTCACCAGCCCAGAAACCTTGAGCATCAATGAAACAGCCTGGAGAGCTTATCTTTCTTCAGCACGTGAAAACAATCATGGAAACGAGCAGGCTAGAGAGAGAAGAGAAGTAAGTAGATCTTCTAAGCTTAAAAAAAAATAAACAGGAAAGTGAGACTTACATTGTACTTTGATTGTAGCTGTTGTGCTTTTTCCTTAAGCAACACGAAGACACTTCCAAAATGTGCATCCCTGATCTCCTTGTAGACCTGTACGATGGTGAAAGATATTTTATAACTTCAAAATTGATCACGCAACTACTTTCCAGCGCTCAGAGTGGTTAAATAGCTGCGAAGTAGTTCAGCTCACGGACACTAACCAGGTCTGTGCTGTTGACGGTAAGCCGCATTTCCTGGTCCTTCCCAGTCACTGCTTTGTCGAAAGTGACTTTCCCTGAAATGAAAGTCAATAAAAGAATGCTTGTAAGACTTCTTTAACAACCTATAATCTAGATAATATATAGGATAGAGAAATTTCAAAGCACCCTAAGAAATGACCTCCTATGCAATTTGTTTTTGTAAGTCAATTCATTTCTAATTCAGCTGTCTTCTAGCGGCAATGTAAGTACTATTATGAATTCAATCGAGGAGTATGTGTAAGTACTAGCCAAAAAAACAAATTCGCAGGGCACCCCATGCATTCGTAAAAGATGACTGGAAGGCGAAAGCCATATGCTTCTTCTCAGTCTATGTACTGATCCTGCCCCACTCCCCTTTGAAAGCTCTCTGCTGCACAGTTTCCTATAAAAACTGGAGAGAACTCTGGCACTAATGTCTATGAGAGCTCAAACGCACGGTGCTTCAGCGAGCATGGAAATGATGGGTAGCACACGACTTGTCTTTCGTACTTTTAGCTCTGCTTGGCTTCGCGTGGCTTGAAGTTGCTTTGTCACGAAACGACAATCAGCAAATGTTCCGCAGTTGCACTTCACTACTTTCTTCTCAGCCTCACCATTTCAAATCGGTTCACGAACTTTATAACCGCTCATTTTTCATTTAAAAAAAAAAAAACAAAACCAAAACACAGTAATAAACAAAGCCACAAGTGTGTCTGAAGCCCACAAGCACGAACACTAGGAATATTCATGTACTGCCCATAATTCCCATGTTCCCTGAACGATCGCAGCACCAGAGTCCCCTCTAGTTAATTTTAGAAAAATCTATTCTCTGCTGCACCTAATGGGCTTTCACACTGCCACCAGGGTCAGAGGCACTGTAAGCTTTCTGCACCACACCTGTTTTCGCACAGCCTCTGTTATCCACCCCCACTTAACCAAGCGACAATGATGTGATGATGTCGCATTATGACGTCACAATGTTGTGACAGCTTCATAGTTTTTGCCAATCAGTGTAGTCATGGCAATGTCATATGGTGACGTCATCATGTGACGATTTTTCGCATCACTACTGCTGATGACGACTCCTTTGAATCACGGCGTCGGTGTGATTCGAAAAGACGAAATGCACCTTCTTTGGTACACTTTGTTATAAGAAAAAATAGAAAGTTTCCAGAATAAGAGAATAGCCATGAAGGAAAAAGAAATACATAATAGCCTGAAGTAATAGACCCCCCTTTTAAGGATGCAACCTGAATTTTCAGATAGGAAAAAGGTACAGCCTACAACACAAGGGTATGAGTTCACAATGCTGCTACAATCGATTTTCCTGTTTGGTGAGGCATCTATACCTCTGCCTTCATAAAATATGCTCTCTGCCCCAAAAGGAATCAAGAAGCTTACCACTTTTAATTCCAAAGTACTCATCCAGAAGACCAGAATAAGTGAGTTGGGTGAGCAGCACGCTTGCATAGTCAATGTCTGCAACGTAAACATGAAGGAAACAAAAGTGATCATTGCCCGGCACACCTTTGTTAGTGTAGTAAAGGTGTATCGAACTCCTATGCCTCACCTCTGTCAAACAGAAACAAGTGACTGATTCGTGGCAACGAAGGTTCCTTAGGTTTCGAGAAGTCGGAAGGGAAAAGCTTTATAACCTTTAGTACACCCTGTTTTGAGGAAAAAGGATAAGCTTTCATGGCAAGAAAATCGCTAGTGAGTGCGAGAGAAACATACGCTAATGTAAATGATGAATCCCCTTTAAAAAGGCCCAACTGGTATATATACAGAGGAGACACGACAAGCCTGCAACATCAGGGAACGAGTTCATATTTCACAGTAGCCTTATTTGACGCTACAGTGAAATTTACTGGAATCCTGTAGTTGCGCGAGTTGGCATGCTTTGCTCTACATTTCTTCCAATCGCACAAAGCAGACACATACACATGCAAGAGATAGTGATATGTGTACATGTGGTTGGAGACTAGAGCTCAAGCCAAAGGCTAAAAAAAATCAAGTCCTAGATCATGACCACAACCGGTCTCCTAGCCTGATGTGCAAAAAGCATGCATATGAAATTTTGACATTCTAATAGACACGGAACATATGAAGACAAAGATATTATAGCGAAAATATCTGTTTTTTCTATCTTTTTTTTTTTTGTGCTACAGCTCAAGATCTTGTTAGGGTGGATGCTCATGAGAGTACACAATTGTTACCTCTGCACAGTTTCCCTGGGCATAAATGTGGCCGATTGGACCACACAGGCTTTCCAGCTGGAGAATGGATTGGGCCACACAACTTGTCCAAGCACAGTCACCATCCTAAACATGCAACAACAACAACAACAAAAATGAATCAAGGCTTATAAAACTAAGCTTCCACCTTTTCTAGCTCCAAAAAATTTGTATCTTTTGCTCTTAACAGTATGCATCTCAGTGTGAAGGCTAGGCCTCTTGCTCATAACAGGTTACCTCAACTCAAACTTTCAAACGGGAAGTTTTACGTCAGTAAAGCTCTGGAACATACTATGCATTGTGATAAAAAAATTGCGTTAGTTCTAATGTTGGTTCAGTAATAGGTGCTTTCGAGTGCAATTCTCGAGAGAGAGAGAGAGAGAGAGAGAGAGAGAGAGAGAGATAAAGATGCAAGGAAAGGCAGGGAGGTTAACCAGACGTACATCTGGTTTGCTACCCTGCACTGGGGAAGTGATAAAGGGGAGAAAAGAGGTTGCAGAGAGATGAGAAGGTACACACAATCACGAGCACACTCGGGGAGCACACACAGTCTACAGGCGGTCGCTCAGGTTTGTTGACTTTAGGTAAATTAGCAGTGCTTTAGTTGCTTTCTGCGCAACTGAGGCAGATGCCCAAGGTCCTAGTATCTTCTGCACACAAAATGGTCCGAGGTCAAGTTGATTCAAAACCATCCGGAGCTGGCATCGCTGTGTGTCGTAGCAAGCGCAGCTGCACAAGACATGTTCGATGGTCTCTTCAGCTCCGCAGTAGTCGCATGTAGAGGTGTCTGCCATACCAATGCGAAAGGAGTACACCTTTGTGAATGCAACACCCAACCAAAGGCGGCATAACAGTGTCGCATCGAAGCGGGAAAGTTGTGATGGTAGCTTTAGCTTGAGCGAAGGATCCAGTTCATAAAATTGACACCTTAGGAAGCTGGTAGACGACCAGAATGTGCGTGTGAGATCTCGAGCCAGAAGGTAAAGTTGTCTTGCTGCATCATTCCTTGATAGAGGAATCGGGACTACACGGATTCCTTCATGGGCTGAGCGGGCTGCATCATCGGCTAATTGATTTCCGGTTGCAATTCTGGAGAATGCTGTAATATCATATTAGCTGCTTTCACAGCTGCAACTCCCTAATTACAGTTTTCATGCATCAAGTCATTAGGTTAACGTAACTTAGCATGAACAAATCGAAATAATTTTGTCATGTACCTTCACCTAATGTAGCATCTACTCACGATGAAGAATGTGCTGAAGAAACCAGGAAGTTCCAGTGAGAAAAGATCCGTGTCCAGTGGAATGAGACCCAGCGGATACTCCAACAGCTTCACATAGCCGAAAACCCCTTCGCTTTCCAGCGTCTGCTCGCAGACATGGGCCTGCAGTTGCAAGCGCGAAAAATGAGGCATCTTTTTTCTGCACCCATGTTTGCAGCTGTTACAAAACGTGGTGGCAAGTGAGACAGCTGAAGTGCTGATGCCAGAAAAATGGAAGCAGGCCCGATCAAAAGCCTGCCGTCATAATCACTTGAAAATTGACACTTATTGACAAAAAGTGCTTTTTTGTCAATACCAAAGTGGACAACAGCCCATACAGACATGATGTCTTGTTGCACACAAGTAGAAGTGACAAAGCGCCATCAAAAAGTTCCTCAGCACAAAACTTCAGTAGGTACCAAAGACATAGGCAAGTGAAAGATTCTGAGGACATGGTTTGATGAGACTCTACTATTGCACCGAGCTCATCAGTTTCGCTACTGTGAAAATGCCCAGTCCTGTAAGATATACTCCATAACTTGATTTTACTGACGAATGCTCCATTCCCACCGGAGACAATCACTGGTACGAAGAGAATGCAAGTTACCTGCCTTTCTGGGGATACAGATGACGTAATACTTGCATTCCTTCTTGTTCTGCTTGTGGTACGTGATGTGGTTGGCTATCACTTTCATGTTCGCAATCGTTGACCTCACAAGATAGGCACATCTGAAACACATCAGTCGTCGTACTTGAGGCACCGCAATTAGCATGTCGGTAATAACTCTTCAACAATGGGCGCACAAGAGAAATGTCTGCTGAGAGACAAGTGTTTCACCAACGAGACCTTTGCACAACGCTACTTGTCGCTGCCACCTGTCAAAGCCCACAGCACCATACAGACATTCATACAACTTTGTTCATACGGCATATAGAAAGCATTTTGTCGCTTATTGAACATATGCTCATTGAACATATATATCGCTTATTGAATATATGAACATTGAACATATAAAAGACAAAAAAAGAAAGAACAGAGGACGAAAATGAGACTTTTTCATGAGCACTACAGATTACCATGACTAGAACCACTCTTACTGAAACATGTTGTTGGGGTATAGTTGATTGATACCATGCACAATGCAATGATGCAACGCAAGGCAATCAACGCTCTTTCCTGTCCTCTTCTTTTCTTCGCCTTGCACTGCATCATCACCGTTTGCATAGAACAGTCCTCGTGACATTTTGGCAAGTTGTGGTAGTTTTTTGGCTAGTTGTGCTGACCTTTTAAGCGATAGCAGCAAGACCATTGGAACCGTACTCGTAAATAAATAATCCCTTACTGTTTATTGCCTGCAGGTGGTGCTGTTGTTTCTAACTTGTAGATTTTCTCCACGCTGCAAGTTCTCTGCACAGATAAGAAGTGTCAGTTGGTTGGGGCAGACCTGATAAAGGTTTTAGGGGTGCAATAACGAAAACTGAGCAAAAAGCAAATAAGTGAAACTTCGAAAACATTCGTGAAGTACATTAGTAAATGTAACGAGCAAGCTACTGTCAGGTACAACTCACGAAGTCAGTGGCATTGCCTCCTCAAAGGCGGACGTACACGAGCTTGCACCAAAGGACACGCACTTCAGTTTAATTTCATGAGCTGCATGGCTGGTGACCCTGCCTTCTGGGAACATGAGTGGGACAACTCTTAAGTCACGGAGGCTATTTCACTTCAGTCATCTGGGCTGCACCACTCCGGACTGCCGAAGTTGTGCCTGACTATAAGTGAACCAAGTTTCACTGGGTACAAGTAACAACTGCAATCGCTGGAAGTCTTGAAAACACGTAGATTTAGTGCACCTAGGACGTGATGGCCAAATGTGCAGGTGTGGTTTTATCTGCTGAAGTGAATGACTAGTAGGATTGCCCAGTGCAATATACAAGTTAACTTACAGACTATGATAAGCTCCAGAAAGCAACTCCTTGTCCACAAGAAAGTTTTGCATCACATCATCATAGTGATTACCAGTTTATTTTGCATTTCTTCCGATTTTGAATGTAAGACAATTACATAGGCAATCTGCCCAGCCAAGAAAAAAAATATTGCATAGAGCTCGCAGTAATGGTCGTGATGTAAGCACAGCTCGAGGCTTTGGATGCGATCGTCATGAATGGGACTTCATCTGGCAGAAACTTCACGCTGTTACCTTCAACACGCCAGCACTGGCAATGTGATCAAGTGGGAAGATGAGATCCTCCTCAATGACCAAGTCTTTCACGCCTTCAATCTGTAAGAGAAATGACAAATCGGCACTTCATGCCAACAAGGTGACAGATAAACAAAATCTCGACGGTGCATCAAGATTTTATGTATTGCATGTGACATGGCTAAGTGCTTTTCTTTATATTCAACGGTTTAGCACATGCATTCTTGAAATGTGTAATTGTTCATTCGTGACCATTCAATTATTTATGGTGTTTTTAGATAATAAGGACGGTATGTAGTGACGCACATTGATCTATATAAAAGAGTGTTCTTTCCAAAATAAAAAAATTCCTGTTGCTATTAAGCACTCTGCCTCGCGTATTAGTAGCCGTTCAAGTTGCGTTTTATTATTATTATTATTATTATTATTATTAACCACGCAATATGTCGAACTGGCAGTTCCTAAACATCTGTACGTTACAGCTCGTTAGAAGATAATATACCTAAGATGACATCTCTGAAGAAACGTTACGTTATATGATAGGTCCTGTCACGTTACCGCAGCCAGCCAATGAGGACAAATTGCCAGATATATACAATACGTTAGGTACCGCCTCCGAATGCTTTTACATGAAACAAGCAATCGCAACGTAAGCAGGCAAATGATCACTCGTAGATCTCGCTAAGCGGATTTTAAATCACCAAGCAGCGTTCACAGAATCGATAAAGGAACGAAGCTGGTGGCCCAGGGCACGTACCGACTTCAGGGTGCTCGTCAACAGCTCTCCCGTAGCGGCCTTCAGTAATTCCTGAAGCAAGGCGCACGGATCAGGAGCACCGTAACGCGCCATTCCGTCCAAGTTGACGCTCGCTAACGCATTAGGAAGCAACAGAGCCTGGCATGTTGCACATAACAAGAGGATTAAACGAATCTAAATGCTATTGCAATGGGAGTGTCCGGATTGGAACTAGCAGAACGCAACAGTACTGTCTTAGCTTGGCCTGGATAGGATTGGCCGACACCTGTTTACGCGCAATGTTGCCCACATGCTTCTTTAAAAACGCTTACAACAAACAATTCCGACAGTTGTTAGTTCCCTTTGTTAGGTCATTCCTGATGAATAGAACGGCTACCATAAGGATCGCTCAACACAAGTCAGACGAGATCGCCTTAGGAGCCAGAGGCACTTACTCCCCAAGGGGCGGTCATCTCCCCCTTGTTATTCAATATAGTCATGAAGGGCTTATCGGAGAGGCTCAGATCCCTGCCCTATATAGGCCACTCGCTTTACGCGGACGATATCACGATCTGGTGCCCGGGAGGATCACTCGCAGAAGCACGCAGAGGAAGTATCTTTTTACGCACCTTGGCCACCTTGCAACCACATCCTGCCAGTCGCGTTACTCGGTGTACGGAGACTTGGCACGTACCTTGTCCTCGCACAAACTATGGATTTGAAACACTACGTTACCGCCTTCCGAGTGTGATGAACGAATGAAAACTAACGACTGATAATCTGCGTATATTGTCTAAAACTGAAATGTTAAATCGGATGTGCTGATTGTGTTGTAAATGAATGTTGGGTGATTTCTGTAATGATTATTCAGTTTTTTTTCTTTCATGCATTGCTTTGTTCTGAAAATTTTTGTATGTATTTGTCATTCTATTGTCGTTATATTATTTGCTGTCATGGGCCACACGCGTGTTTCTTTTTGTATTGTCGCTTTCCGCTGCCTGTAATTTTTGTAAATTTGTAGTTTAGATTTTTTTCTGGGTGAAGGGGCCATCAAGCTGGGAAATGCAGCTTTTTTCCCTTCGCACCAAACCACGTATACAGTGTATTTTCGTGTACTTGTCACGTGGTTGAATAAACTCAAACTCAAAGTAGAAAACGCGCTGCGATCAGCCCAAGACGAAACGGAGTCCTACCTAGAAGGCACAGTCCTCCAACTCTCTCCAAACAAATCAGAAATGTTACTGTACAGGCCGGCCAGGCAAGGCATTAAGAGACTTCCACACCTGGACCAAATTCCCATCTCCCTTTTTGCAAGAAATGGACAGCGCATTCCACGAGTAGATTCAATCAGAATCCTAGGACTACTGATTGACGCGAGAGGGTGTAACGCCAAAACCCTGACGCACATCACGGCCAAAACCGAAAGCATGCTGAGACTTGTTGCTAGAGTATCAGGACGCAGAAAGGGACTAAGTGAAGCCAACCTACTTCGAATGCATCATGCCTTCCTAATGGGCCACATTAATTATGTTGCATCGGCGCTTACCTGGACTAGAACGAAAAAAAAAAAATAAGCTAGACACTCTCATCCGCAAGAGCATCAAAAAGGTGCTGGGGTTACCAGTAACCACATGCTCTGACAAATTAAGACAACTCGGTATGCACAACGAGATTGATGAAGTGATCGAAGCGCAGGTTACCGCCCAGGTGATCAGGCTCTCGTCAACCAGGGCAGGAAGACGCATCCTGGACGAGGCTGGCATGGCTCCCAGAATGCTTGCTGAACGGGAAATTACCTATCCCGGGAGGTCCGGGAAACCTTTGTGGTCAGCCCATTCCCTCCGAATATGCACCCGCAATACAATGTAGGGAGGCGAAAAGCCCGAGCACGGGCAATATTACAGAACGCCGCCGAGAATCTAGAATCGACTGTCTTTGTCGACGCGGCTCAGTACGGCAAGTCTAGCACATTCGCGCTGGCAGTCATTGACGGCAACGGGGAATTACGCTCCTCAGCCTCGGTCAGGTTAGCTACGAGCGCAGTTGCAGAACAGGTCGCCATAGCCCTGGCCATGACCAACCGCTCACACACCACCATGTTAACAGACTCACGAGCGGCCATCAAAGCTTTTGAGTCGGGTAACATAGCGCGGGAGGCTGCCTCCATTCTAGAAAAAAGAACAGACCCTGGCACTCACTTAATCTCTTGCTTTCCCGCCCATATGGGTGCGGACGTTCACCAGCCCGTACCTAACCTAACCTTGCCCATGACCGTGCGCGAGATCTAACGCGCCGCGGCGGCATGGAGGCCTTATGGGTTCAGGATGAAATCCAGCTTAATGACCCACTCCTTACGTTTAATGAAATCACATCTCACTATCGGCTACGTAGAAGGGCCTATCCTCTTCCTCACCCGAAGTTAGATAGGTCTCAGTCAGTTACACTTAGAATGCTCCAGACGGGCTCGTTCCCCTCACGGGGCCTTCTCAGTCGTATATCCACAGACGTTGACTCAAGTTGTCCGGAATGCAATGAAATTTATTGTTCCTTAGCGCACATGCTTTGGCAATGCCCCGCGTTACCTAACGGCCCTCTATCCAGCGAAGCCGACTGGGAAGAAGCACTCCGGAGCCCATCGCTCCAAGCACAAATCCAGGCAATCCAGAGGGCCCAAGAAAGGGCGAAACATCACGGTGTCCCAGCCCCGACTCGGACGCGGCCAGCGGCCTCCGCGGGTCCCTGATAGGGGTTCCCGCGAAAGCTCCTCAGGATCACATAAAGTTCATTGTCTGTCTGTCTGTCTGTCTGTCTGTCTGTCTGTCTGTCTGTCTGTCTGTCTGTCTGTCTGTCTGTCTGTCTGTCTGTCTGTCTGTCTGTCTGTTAGTTCTCTAACCCTGCTTGAAGATGATTTTGGGACTGCATATATATATATATATAGTGCGCCATCATGGCGTCACTTCGATTTCAGCAGTTTTCACAGCCCACTAACAGAGGTAGGACATTTTAGGGTGCGAGAGCCACGGACACCACCGTTCACCGCCTACTGAACGTACCTCGGGCATAGATCATCACAGAGTTAATATAAAGACTCTAGAGGAATAAAATTAAAGCACCCCATATAGACCATGCATTAAAACCTATAACCACTCGGGTTACGCGATGATGGAACGATACTCAGCTTACGTCTGGTGTCCACTCGCACTCGCCACTGAATGCTACAATCCCGGGCATTTTTCGTGGCTTCATGTCTCTCTTTCGCATCGCAATAATTATTGTCACATAAAGTCGAGTTGTCGGCTCACGGCAACAAGAAACCCGAATTGTGGGGGGTGGTAGTGGTTCTTGAAGAAGAAAGAAGGCATCTAATTTCTGTCTGCCATAAGGCGACACGGCGCAATCGGCCGCACGGTCACGCTCTCGAATGTTGATACCATAGGAGGGCGCTATCTGATTTTAAAACTCTGCAAACATCTCTCTTCGCGCGCAATAAATTACACAAATGATCATTTATCTTTCCTGAACGTAGTGATGTAAACACATCACACAATTTACGTTTGCTTGTAATACGTGAACAGACTTGTTTATGATTTATAGTGCAACAATTTGAGTGTTTTCGACTGATATATTTAGCGCTTCTTTAAAGTATTTTAATGGCAACAGTGACAGTGTTCAGGATGTCAGCGCTTTGGTAGTTATAGAAAATTTCTCGGCCCAGCTTTTCCTCTAGAGAGAGAGAGAGAAATAAATAAAAGGAAGAGACAGGGAGGTTAAATAAAAGGAAGAGACAGGGAGGTTAACCTAGACGAACTGGTTTGCTACCCTGTACGGGGGTGGGGAAAAGGGTCGGAAAGAGGATAGATATAGAGAGATATAAAATAAATTAGAAAAAATCACATGCGCACACATTCAGGGAGTTCAGGTAACAGTCGTTTAGACAGGCCGGTTGAACGCAAGAAGCGCAGGAGCACCTTCACAGCCTTCTTTTGCGACATAAAGTCCTGTCGGCAGCGCAGGATTCTTTCTTCCGAAAGAGGCTGGTCGTCCAGTTCATCTAGTGTCTTGCAGAGTGACTGTCTCTGCGAGCTGTATTGTGGGCATTCACACAGAATGTGCCAAGTCGTTTCGTCACTGCCACAATGGTCGCATGCAGCAGTGTCAGCTATTCCTATACGGGACGCGTACGCATTGGTAAATGCGACGCCCAACCATAATCTGCACAGCATAGTAGCGTCTCGTCGGCGTAATTCCGGAGGAATTCGAAGACTGAGAGTTGGGTCTAAAGTACTTAACCGAGCATGGATGAAATGTGACTCGTTCCATTGTGACATGGTGCGCTTGCGAGCAAGCATGCGGAGTTTCCGTGCAGCGTCAGTTCTGGAAAGCGGAATTGATATTTCATCGTTTTCAGTATGGGCAGAACGGGCAGCTCAATCGGCCCGTTCATTGCCAATTATTCCACAATGACTTGGCAGCCATTGAAAGGCTATTTCATGACCTTTCTCAATGAATTGGTGAGTCTTTTCTGCAATCTCAAATACCAGCTGTTCGTATGGGCCGTGGCGTAAAGGTGATAGAAGGGATTGCAGTGCCGCCTTTGAGTCACTGAAAATTGTCCATTTTTTGTGGCTGTTGATCGCTGATGAATTGCAATGCGGCACGAAGAGCTGTGAACTCTGCTCCCGTTGATGTCGTAAGGTGGGAGGTGTTGAATTTTCTTGTCGTGTCTTTTATCGGTATAACAAATGATGCCGTTGAACTCTTATGTAAAATGTAAAACAGAGCTGTCGGTGTATTGTGTATATTAACTCTATGACCTCCTGTGTGTCGCCATCAGGGTGAGCTGGTACATGAAAAGCTTGAGCAATCTTCCATGCATTGATGTGTTCCTAGCTATATCTGTACGAAAACGGGGGGGGGGGGGGGTGACTTAAGTTTTGTCGTTAAGAGTTGAGCGTGGTAGCGATATCTGTCCCTGGTACGTACTTCAATTACTTATAGTGCATACTTTTAACACAGAAGTGTTGCAGGCCGGGGTTCATCACAGTTCCGCTGACGTATTTCCGTTACGGATATGACGTTGTAAGATTTATACTAAATGATTACAAAGAAAAAAACTAGAATAAAGGTTTATGTCACGGGGTGTTGAACTATGACCTATAAATTCGCAGCGCGCGGTGCTAACCGCTAAGTCACAAAGCGAACGTTGTCAAGGTTGCTAACAGCAAACTATTTATATACACCACGTA